CGTCAGTTTTTAGCTGTGACTCGTCAGTTTTTAGCTGTGACTCGTCAGTTTTTAGCTGTGACTCGTCAGTTTTTAGCTGTGACTCGTCAGTTTTAGCTGTGACTCGTCAGATTTTAGCTGTGACTCGTCAGTTTTTAGCTGTGACTCGTCAGTTTTTAGCTGTGACTCGTCAGATTTTAGCTGTGACTCGTCAGATTTTAGCTGTGACTTGTCAGATTTTAGCTGTGACTCGTCAGATTTTAGCTGTGACTCGTCAGTTTTTAGCTGTGACTCGTCAGTTTTAGCTGTGACTCGTCAGTTTTAGCTGTGACTCGTCAGTTTTAGCTGTGACTCGTCAGTTTTTAGCTGTGACTTGAATCTGATGTGAATATCAAAACCTTTTAGAGCTCTCAGGAGTAAAACTGATCCGACTCTTTGTGTCTGAGACAAACAGGAATTTGACAGGTCCTGGTCCTGGTTCAGGTCCTCCGATGGGTTCAGGTGCACAGAGTGTTTGATCAGAGTCTGCTCAGGTTCTTCAGCTCGTTGTGGAACGTCAGACTTGTGAAGGTGAAAACGAGCAGCAAACAGAAGAAGACTCAGGAGACAAAGACACAAAGACAGGTGGTCAAAGAAAGGCTGTCGCTGTGACACGACTGAAGCTCTGCAGCTCTTTGATCAACATCAAGTCTCCTCTTTCACATCATACATGATGAACGTTGTATGAAGAAGAGGAGGAACTGCAGAGATCACCTTTTATACTGTATCTCACCTGGAACTTCCCATGACTCAGCACTTTTTACACCTCTTGTTGAAGACTTCAGGCCTGGGTCTCAGTTCAGGGGTTGTAGCCCGCGTAGACCTCAGCCTGTGTAGGCCACACCCTGTGTAGGCCACACCCCACATAGACCTCAGTCCGTGTAGGCCACACCCCACATAGACCTCAGCCCGTGTAGGCCACACCCCACGAGGGCTGTAGGCTGTGGTCCTCTGTGTTCACACGCTGTAATACCCATAATGCACCACTGCACCACGTGATGGAAGGGTCCAAACAGAACCCTTCTGCAGACCAGAACCAAACAAGTAACCTTGTCGTTGAGGTTCTGAAGACTGTGTCCACAGTACCGGTCCAAACAGGTTCTGGACTCCGCAGAGACTGAGGACCATCAGGACTTCTGTGTCTGACCCCACTGAGTCCAAAAACCCAACAGGTTTTACCAGCTGCCAGACCCGACCTGAACGGAGCTCTCATTTAAGCCCCGCCCACCCTGGCCTGAATGTGACAGGTGACATCAGTTGTTGGTTTTTACAGATCTATTTAAAATAGTGTTAATGTTCAGTTTGGAGGTGTTTTTGAATTGATGTTAAAATTGAAGTTATTGTGTGTTTATTTATAT